CTTGGTTATTGAACTGAACAAAATTCTCTTCAGTCCACTCACTAAGCTGAAAGGAAGGAAATAATATCTTCTCATCTTTCAGGAGGCTAAAGTTCTTGAGAGATTGTTTATAATTTCAGGAAAAATTTTGATCCAGATGTCTAGCCAGTGATTTCTGCATGCTTAGTATATAACTTTATTGACAACTTTCATAGAAATCAGATGCTGTTTAAGTACTATTTTTGTATGTATTTAAGACATAGCAAGTAGCCTATATATCTGTAACTCTACAATATTTTTACATATATTCACCTCGGAATTAAAAAAAATAACTTAGACTGGAAAAAAAATCTGACCCTATGCCAGAGAGGGTAGGTCTGGAGGAAAGTGAGATTGATGCTGTTTGTGGTTTTTTAGTGCCTTTGTTTGACACATCATGTGTTGTCATTAGGACTTTACACCCTGTATGACACTTTTTCCTTTAAGGAAAAATTAATTTCCCAGAGAGAAGGAAACAGTTTCTACATAGAACATATTAGCTATTTTGTTGGGTGATTATGATTATAAAATTTACTTATTCCTGTTGATATGTGCTAGCCTATCAACAGCACAGAAACATTCAGAAACATCCTCACAGGAAGAGAAGGGGACACAAACTCCCATTTCAGTCAGTGGAGGAAGTTGCTGAAGTGTTTTTCTTGGCCTTTTCTTTTACCTTTACTTTTCTTCATAGATCTCACTGATGGCAGTGGGCTGACAAACAAGGTCTATTCAGTTGTAACTGCCAGAATTTAATTAAGGGAAGTTTTTCTTTACCCTTAATGTAATTTTATGATCTATTTAGTACTTTAGTAGTCTTCTAATAAGCAAGTTTCAAATCTTACATGAAAAATCCATTGTTTTATTTCCCATAGTGCTGCCTCTCTATTCAGTAACTTCTGAGCTAGATAATTGAGTTGGAAAGGCCTCTTCTCCCAAACTATTAACCCATGTCCCCAGAACTCAGAAACATGTTTGAAGATACCTTACTTCTTTAATGCATGCCTATTCCAAAAGACATGACTTCTGATCGAGCTTAAAGAAGGATCTTAACCTTTTTTCTCAAGGGATGCAAGGCTTCTGTGAACAACCTTGTGCTTTTAAAGTACTCCTTTTGCTAGTACAAAAGTGGTTCTCCTCCACTCATCTTTTGGACATTAACTACTGAGCACCTTCCAAACTCAAAGATCTATGGAAACTACTGAATAAAAGAAAGCTATTGAGGTTTCCAATGTTTACTTAGCCCTATACAGGTTTACATTAATCTCCTTAGGCTCCTGTCTGTCTTCAGTAGAAAAAAAAGTAGAAAATCTCTGAACGACAGAATTCTGCTCTTGGTGTTCAGCATATTCTCACCTTATCTTGGTATGGTCAAGCTTGGATCTTTGCTTCTAGGAAATCTGACTGGTATCCAAAGATACTGTCCAAGACACTGTCATGTACCTATGCCACTCTGGCTGTGATGTCCATGCAACATCAAAGCAAGATATAGCTGGTCCACTGGCCTGTGTGTGAATGATAGGATGAGGTGGTATTCTCAGGCAGCTCTTAACAGCTTTCTCTCTCTGTTACTTCACAATGCAGTTGAGAATTCCTACATTATCTGTTCTGTATGAAGGACATTGGAAGCATATTTCATCACCTAGTGCTCAGCTAGCCCCTACCTGTCAGCTTGTTCATGAAAATTCCTTGCAGATACTTAATTGGGAGAAATAAGGATGACCTGTCTACTCCATTGGAAGAAAATGGTTTTGTTTACTTGCTTTGGACCATCTAGGATGTGTTGGATAGAATAACTGTCTGAAAGGGAGCTTTGATATTCACGGTACTAGGTGAGGCTGTGCTGTATGTACCTGTGATGCTAAGCTGTGTATTTGAAGCCCAAGACTTGGGAAAGGCCTTCCTGCACTTTGGGGAGGAGGCTGCCTGTTTTGCAGCATTCTAGCTCTTCAATTTGCAGAAGTTTACAGACAGCTAAAGGGACTTCAGTAACAACAGTACTTAACTATCTCACTACATTTCAAGATTGTAGGCAGTTATATATTGTTAATGTTTTGATGGTTTTTGGAGGGGTGTTATCTCAGAATGGTGTGAGCTGAGAAAGCTTGCTGAGAAAAGCTAGTCATGAGCCAGATGAGAAGGACTTTCTCTGAAGTCTTCAGAAAGAGCAAGAATCCAGTGCCAGATAACTTTGGCTTGGGAAGAGCTAGTGATACTTTTTTCTCTCTGGAAAGACTGAGATTGGGAGATGTTCTTCAAGACTGGAGCTAAATCTTCTGTCTTGAAGTGACTGCACAATGAGTTTGCACCCTGCATGGGTAGATTTGTTTCACATTTGTTTCAGCTGTCACCTGGGTTCACAGATTGCCCTGAGACAAGAGCAAAGAGGTATTTAAAGATGGCACTGTATAAGCAAAACAGGCAGCCAGCAGTTCAGTACTTGCTGTTATTTCAATATCCCTTCTTGGGAGAGGGATCTCAGTGATACCAAATAAAACTGCCTGCTCCCAGCCTCTTCCAAAATTTCCTAGCTGGGGTAGATGAGGAGGCAGCACTGACTTCCTCACCTCTTTGGTCCTTCCTGAAAGGGTTGCCAAGCTCCATAGCAAACATATAATGAATCATTCATCTTTAATAGATTATGCAAATTGAGAACACCAGATCAATGAAGATCAATAATTGCAACCATTTAATTGCCAGCAAAAACATTTTAAGAATGAGCATTATCTGAAGTCCTTTCTTGGGTAATGGCACCATTAATCCAAACATTGGATCCTGGCCTAAGTGTAGAGGAAAAATTCTCCACCCCTTTTCCCCTGCTGCCCTTCAGGGTGTTAAGGGTTTTTTTTTCCCTTTTCATTTCCAGTTTCTGAGTTTCCCCATCATTACCACCAGTGAACATCTCCCAACGCTAATAGTTCTGCTTTTGTTACTCTGCACTGATTGAAATGTCGCATACAGATTGAGATGTTAGTGTTAAGTTGCCACCTGGGAGTGTCAAGCTGGGTCTGAAATGAACTTTTCTCACTCTTGGATCCAGATGGATCAGATGAGGATGTTCTCGAGCTAAGCTGGGAGTGTTGCAGGGAACAGAATGGGGATGGCACAAAGTTGGGGAGGACATGAAGATTTTCTGCCTCAGCCCACAGTCTTTCCAGTGAGGCCAAATCTGCCTCTTGATGTCCCCTGGCGAGAGACATGTCCACAGCTTATGCTGTGTCCCCAGCCTTTGGGAATTTTGCTCTTCTATTAACAAGCTGGAATGCACCACCTTCACTTAGGCTGAAGGTCTAAAATTAATTATTTTAATGGCCCCCTTGAATCTTAAATTCTGATTTTAGGTCGCTTGTGTTTACATCCAACTGTGGGGATCTGCCTTCCATGAAGTAAGGACAGTATTGCTCTCCTACTGGCTTTGTCCCCCAAACACCGGAAAGTTTTCCTGTAAAAGATGTAGATCTGCTAAATGGTAGATGGACACCAGCTTAGTTTTGTCTTGCATATGCAAATGCAAAGAAAGGTGGAAAAATTTTGACACAGCTGAGCCATTTTTTTTCTGGTTGGCTAAGAAACTGCATGGCTACAAGGATCCTGGATCAAGCCTGGTAGCAGTCACAGCCATTAAAAGAGTCTGGGGATGTCACTCTTACTAGATGCTCTCTAAATATGCAGTTTGCCTCCCCTTGGTTCTCCATGACATTTTGCAGACCTCACACCCAATCTCCTCTATATTTGGGGTAACTGTTACTAATCCTAACCTGTCCCAAAATTCCTGGTAGCCAAAAGGCAAAATTCACTGTTGCTCAGTGTTTGCTGAAGAAGCAAAGACTGCCTTCCCCAGCCGTGAAATGCTTTGGCCTCAGGGGCTATTAGCTGGGGCTCCTGCAACAAAAAGTTGAGATACAGACTCCAAAGCTCTTGATTCTGTGCCATCAGAGACCAGCTTTCTGGCCAAGAGGCAACAGGTCCTTCCCTTGCTAACAGGACTTACATCTCTTTGTCATGCTTTATTTCTCAACTTACATGGCAAGTTTTCTAGCGAGGCTAAAGAAGCTGTAGGGAAGGGGTGATATAGCAAAACAGGAGCAAGTGACTCAGGCCTTGCCAGCTGCTTTAGCTACCCAGGAGGAAATGTGCAAATCTGTGGCAGCTGTATGAGCAGAGACCAGTGGCAACTAAAGCCAGAATATCTCCTTATGGCTGTAGACATGCACAGGGCAGGCAGTGTAACACTAGCATCAGGATGGTGTGCCCTGTGGACCCAGGACAACCCTGTGCTGCTCAGGTTCTGCATGTGCCACCAGCAAAGAAATTTCTGTGGAGCAGCTGCTGTAGAAATTGCCTCCTGCTTCTGTACATCTGCTTTCACTCTGGTCTTGCACTTGCTCCCATTTCCTCCTGACCCCATCACACTTGAGTTTAATATGCCCAGTGGTGAGGGAAGGGGAGAGACCGTGAACAAATTTCTTTTGCCAGCTGCTGTTAGAGACTCATGGGCTTAAGGAAGAGGGAGTTTAGCAGTCACAGTTCAGCAGACCTCAGTATTTAGTTTGAAAATCCCCTTCCACAGGGGGGCTGAATAGAACTTCAATTATTATTTCTCCCCAAGAAAACCAAGTGCAGATCATGGGTAAGCCACAACCCTCTTGTTCTCAGACACAAAGGAAAAAATGGCAGTGAGTATTTGGACATAGTTGTCCACCAACATCCATCCCTAAGCCCCATCTGGGCATAAATATTCTTGATTCATGCCCGGGTTTGTCTGCCTTTGAGTCACATCTGGGCACCTCTAAGTGTACCCAAAACTGCCAATAGTCTTCAATGTCAAGCTTCTCTTGAGCCCTTATGTCCTCCACAGTCTTTCTCTCTCTTTCCATGTTTGCCACAGAGGGATATCTTGCATTAGCAGAAAAAGCAGAAGCTAATGGTGATGAGGGAAATAAATAAAAAGCTTGGTTCTGCTGTTTGGTCAGGCAGCTTACCGGTCACCACAGGGTACGTCTGGGGTCCTGACACATTTGTCCCCAGGTCTGGGTTAGCAGAGGTGGATAGACTTGATTTGACTTCATCGAGACCTGGGGTCAGAGCTGGGAGGGAGTACTCATTACCCTGGGGAAGAGAGGAGAGAGACAGCTTGCTATTGATGTGCGGGGAGAAAGGGAAGGGTGTACAGATGGGAGGGAGGAAGAGGAGAGATGCAAACCCCTGCACAGATGGAAGAGAAGGAGGAGGAGGAAATGGAGAAGATGAAGTGACAAGAAGGTTGTGGGGGGGTTCCTAGGATGAGCTATCCCAGGTGCCTGTGTGCTGCTGTGAAAGGGAAGAGGAGCGAGGCCAGGTGTGGGATCTGGCCCCTTACCTGTGGTATTACTGAGCCTTGGTTCAGTTCTGTGGGGATGAGGATGGCTGCCTGTGCCAGCCCAGGGGAGAAGAAAGGGGAAATCCATGTCCCCTCCTCTTGGCTGAGCAGAGGTGGGAGGTGTTTGCCCTGGTGACAAGGACAGCTGGGGCAGAGGACTGCAGTGACATGACTAAGACAGGCAGACTGTAGCAAGCAGCCAGTGTTGGCCCTCTGTAGCCAGGGTCTCTGCTGAGTCATTTGCCTCCTCTCCACTGTTACCTCTGTCCTAGCTCTTTAAAAACAAACAAAGAAGCCTCATCCCCTGCCTCTGTCACTCTGTGCACTGGGGTATGAAATTGGGGAGGGGGGAGCCACATGGCTAACAGAAGGGTGGGAGGGGGAGAGCCATTGAATCTGAAAGGGTGTCCTGTCCGAAAGGCTCTGGTAATTGCCTTTTTATTGTGGTAGCCTCCGGACCAGACGCACTAGCTGGAGAAACCAGGAAGGCTACAAAACAGCAGGAAAAGTTGCTCTGATTAATATTACGTTAAATTAAAACTGATTTTCTGCTCTTTCTGCTCTGTTTTTTTCCATGCGCTTTCCCAGCCCCCTCCTCACATCTCCCCCTCCTCCAGCGGGCTCCCTGCTTGCTGCCCCCTCCCCACCCCTGTCCCTGCTTGGCTAGGACTGCCTAGTCATTTCCAATTCCTTCTCGTATTGATCTTCCTGTAGAAATCAGTTTTGTAATTAGCTGCAAATTAGGCCTTCTACTGGGGGTGAGCCTGCCCCCTGATTTATCACCAGAGTAATTCGCTGTGATCGGAGAGAAATTAAAATGAACTCAATTAGGCTTCGGATTTGCTTTATGGGCCCTGCTCAGAGTTTCAGGGGGAAAAATGACTGTGCTGGTGCTTAATAGTCTAATGAAAGTAAATAAAGGTTATTCATTGTAATAAACCCAGGGACTCTGGGATGAAGGGAGTCCACAGCCAGCCTCTCCTTCTCTTCCTTTGTTGGTTTATGGCTTGGGGCGGTTTAAAAAGACTTTTGATTTTCATTTTATTAAGACAAACAGCTTTTGGGATAAAAGGCCAGGGGACTGGGGGAGGAAGGGGAAGGGGGGCCAGAGCTGCAGAAGTGCAGAAAACTAGGTTGGAGACGGGAATAAAGTCTCAGCTTTGGACCATGAAGGAAAATGCTTCATTAAAGCCCGCCCCTGTGGCTTGCTGGGCACCGGCATGATCTGAGAGTGCAGGAGTTCCCATGCAGTGCTGTGCGCCAGCAAACATGCACGGCAGTGTTTGTGTGTTCATGGCAAAAACGTGCCCACATATCTGCATGTGTGTGTACAGAGGGAAAGGCAGACATGAGGTTTTAAGGACAGCACAGTGTGCCTGTATACGGCAAGTTCACGGGAGGTAGAGCAGGTGTATACATGTGCATCAGCACAGTGATACATTTTCAGCTAGAAAGTGCTGTAAAATATAAAGGTGATGTATGTACAATACAGGTCAACGTGAACAAGGGGTGAAGAAGGTGAGAGTGATTTCACTTTCACTAAGGGAATCTCCCTGCCATCATCCTATGGGCACCTGTGGGTCCCCATGATCAGGCTGGGCCCTCACCTGCTCAGATTTGATGTGCTCTGATGTTTGAAAGACGTCAGGGTAAGAAGGACGCTCAAAAACTCGATCTAAAGCCTCCAGCTGCTGCTGGGTGAAAGTGTCGCCACGAAGGTGCTTCCGCAAACTGTCCACGCTGCTCTGGGAATCTCCATTGGGAACTGAGCCCTCGGATACATCTGCAGGGCACAGACAGAGAAAACAGGGAGTTAGCACCACCCTGGCTCAGATTAGCAAGGGATGCAGGACAAGGACAGAGTGGGAAAGAGCAGGGCCCTCCACCCCAGGAGCTGTGCCACTCCCATGGGAAGGGGAGGCTGTGAGGACCAGAGAGAAGCCCCCTTCTGTCTGCTGGAGTGGCCGGGCTGCTCATGTGAGCTCCATGGGACTCTCCTGCCCAGGGTGAGTGATACTGTGGAGAATGGTGCTTGGCTCAGAGATGAGTTTCGGTTCCGCTGATTTTCAGGGTTAAAAATTGCCAAATCTCCATTGCTGAGCATAAAATGGGAGCAAAGCACAGCGATTAGCATCGCTAGAAGGCTACTGGAGAGGCAGCTCACAGAGAAACCAGAGTGCTGAGGATGGACCTGTATTGGAGAGAGCTGAGGAAGCCTGGCATGGAGAAAGGGCTCTCTTACAGCTTGGAAGGGAGTCAGCTCTGTTGTAGCTCCCCCTTCCAAGTAGAAGTTGTATCGCTGTTATAATTTCCTTCTCATCTGATCTTGTCCTGTGGCTTCTGTTACGATCTCTGTCCCATTCTTCTGTGTGTAGCTCATGATTTATCACAATCCCTATATCTGTTATAAAACTCCCTCCAAAACTGAATCTTTATCTGTGTTGCTCCCTCTTACTATCCAGAATGAATTACTGTATTACAAAACCTAGTCCTACTCAGTGGGCATCAGTCTTCCTGGTATTCTTTTATTCTTACTAAGAAAAAAGCCTTTTTCTGGTAGAAGTATCACCAGAAGTGCATCTCTGTCCCTGCAACAGCTCTCTGATATAATCCAATCTCACTGCAGTGTCTCCTGCCATGTTCTTGCTGCCTCTATCTCTGTTGTGCCATCCCATGTCTCTTACAGCCTATTCAACCCCTCTGAACTGAGTCCATTATAAATGCCCTGCCCCATCCAAAGTGAGTCTTTTTTGTGGTAAACAATCTTATCACCCACCTGTTTGGGTTGGGTTTTTTTCCCCCTGTTATGCTCCAATTCAAATGAGGTGCATTTGTCTCGGTCATAACCCCTTTTTATCTGAATTGAGTGAGTCTCCTGCTATTAGCATCTGTCACATCCAAGGTGAGTCTGTCTGTTATAACCTCCTGTCCTAGCTGAAGTGAATCTTCCTTTGTCATAATCCTTCATCTCATTGGAGGCAAGTCTGCTCATTATAATCTTCTCCAACTGTGCTGAGTATCTTTCTGCTGTCACCTCTCAGCCTAATTTTGGTGAGAATAGTTATAATCCCCTGTCTCATCCATGCTGATGTAACTTCATACCCTCCATGCTGAATCTCTGCTTACTGGGCTCCATCAGAAACAAGCCTAACTGTCTCATCACCCCATCTAATGTAAGATCAAGTTCTCTTGCACTGTGATTACCTTCCATTTTTTTTCACTATTATTCCTCATACTTCACACTTTCTTGATGGCTTCCAGTCTGTGAATTTCAGAAACTTGCTGTCTTTCAAGAAACTGCTTAAGGGATCTGTTATAGACCTTCTCCCTCCTCCATTGTGAGTACGTCCATGGGCAGGCAAAGCTTCCAGAAGCCTGGAGTGACATTCACTCTGCAACAGCCAACACCAGGCCACTCCACTGCTTCATCTTTTAGCTCATGGATGGTACCAAGATGGGTATTTTCCTGGCACAGTTAACGCCCAACTGGTGGCCCAGAGTTATAACTGATCCTGCTGCCTTCTGGCTATGAGATATATCCGTTTATAGGTGATTATACGATATGATATAATCAATAGTACATTATATACAGTAACGTAGTACTGTACCACTCGCAAGACCATAGAAAATATTACATATTGATTTGTCCCAGCCAGCAGCCTTTCCTCATGCAGCCCCTTATCTCTCTTTCTTTTCCACCCCTAGCCAAAGCAGAGCTGTTTACTGGCACTGATTCCTGGCCTTTTCTCTTCTCCTTGGGCTTATTCGCACAAGGGAAAATTCTCAGGTTCCCAAAAGCTGGAGTTCATGACAGATTTGACTAAGAAAACAAAGCAGACTGGCTTTGGTGGACTGCATGCTGTGTGTGTCAGTGCAGTCTTCATGTTTTAGATGGACTGGGCCGTTCCTGCAGGGAGTGGCTTTGAGGATGACTGGGCTAGCTCAAGGCTCATGCTCCCAATTCCAGTAGTTACTTCTCTCTGTTCCTCCCTGCAGAAAGCTGGCACGAAACTCCTGGGTCCAGGCTTTGAAAAAATTATGTGTTTCTGTATCAGCACTTGTCTCAACCCACTTGCAGCCTATGAAGCTGTTTGCCTTTGAGGATTTTTCCACGTGTCAGTCAGTGTGCGTGACTCTGCACACCATGATGCTAATACACATGGATATTTTTGCAGTAGATCATTATGTTGGTATTCTGTAGATTCTGCATCACCCTACATGCCTTAGCAACCGTTTGTCTAGGATGGCAGCCCTACATTGTGTGTGGTGTTTGGTGTAAGTGAGCAGGTGTTCACATACACAGTAAAACTTCCATTGATGCTTATTAAACTGGATCTTACCCTTTGTGAGTTGCCCTGGGGGGTTGCACAGGTTAGTGCACCCATGCACATGTATTTGCAATGCCTGCCTGCCTGCAGAGCTCTGTGCATGCGTGTCTCCCGCGTGTGCACAGGGCGCGCCTTTGTGTGAGGGAGCTGAAACCACAGCTTTCCCAAGTCACTGTAGGAGTCTCTTTTCCTTCATTTATTCAGGGCCCCTTCAGATCTTGACAAATCTGTCACTCTAAATTTGCGAGAGATTATGGTGCTCTCTCTCCAGCACAGAGAGAGGTGATATATGATATCTGCTGCCCCTATTGATTGCCTGATCTGGTGGCAGAGGGCTGGCGAAATGAACTTGAAATGAACATCATGCCTCAACTCATTGTGCGTATAATACACTACTTAATCCCACATTTTTCAGCCGCTATGGAATTCAATTGATCAATCATGTCCCTCTGATAGTACTGTTTTAGGGGTTATTGCTGCTCTGCTCACTGACCTTTTTATTTATTTATTTATTTATTTGTGCCAGTGTGTGTGTGTGCACCTAAGTGCATACGTGTATTTGGGAAACTCAGGACCAGCTGGTAAGAAAGGACCTGTATAGTCAGTGGGAAATGAAAGAAAAGCATGAAGGGAGGAGAAAGGGAAGGAATGGGATTAGAGAAGAAATCAGAATGATCAAAACAAGCAAACAGATAGGGAGAGGTGGAAAAGTTGTAAGGAGAAAGGCTGTGCTTTGGTTCAGGTGGGAGTTCTGGACATGGCAGGGCAGGGGCACTCTGCCATGGCCTAGACTTTAAAATCTAGAGAAGAAAATAAACTTTTGACAGAGGTCTGTAGGCTACTTCGAGGTGGACCTTGTCTAAACAGCTTGCAGTAGTACTGGACGTAATGGTAAGGCACACAAATCCCAAACTTGACAGAACAATAATATGAGCTGTGCATATGGTTTTTACTTATGAAGAGGAGAAAGTTTCATGGAGATGATCTTGAAAGACAGATTTATATGTCTTGTATTGCTAACACTGAGACATTCACAGTCATGGATCACTGTATTTTCTTCAAAACCAAAGGATTGTAAATCCCCTGTGCTTGTTTTCTGGTGTCAAAACCTATAGAGGATGTGTTTTGCTTTCTTTCCTGAAATTTCAAGGGACAGACACTTATCTCTGGTTTTAAATCAAGTTGCAGTTCTGTTCTAGGCATATGACTCTGTGGGCTGGACTATAAGGAAAAGCCTCAAATACTGTAATACAGAAAGCATGGGAGCTGACAATTGGGTATGAGCAGATGTGGCAGTAAGGAGCAGGGAGGTCTTTAGGGAAGAGATGGGGTCCATCAGAGGGCTGCGGGTAAAAGCAAAGGGAGGGGTCATTGGGAAAATTTTGGTTGAGAAAGACTAGCAGATCCCATGAGGAATGGCACTGTGGTGGGCAACAGTCACTTCAACTGATGAAGTGCTAGGAGTAAAAGCTTTTAAGGAATGGGGATTTGCTAAAAAAAACAGCTTTTGAAAAAGGATGCCATGGTGAAGCAAGGCTTCACCTGCAGGATGAGTCTGCAGATGCCACCTAGGTAACTGCACTGCCTTACCATTAGAAAGTGCCATCACCTTTTTACTGGTGAGGGAAATTCTGTGGTACTGTGACACAGGCACGCCTCTCTTAAATCAGTAGGATCTTAGGCAGCCTCAGAGGTGAACCATGGCCTTGGTCACTGTGTCTCTCACAAGAGTACACAGTTGCTGTCACTGTGATCAGAACTGGCCTTGCACATGTGATGGGAAACATCTTGCTTCCTGAGGGGCTGCTGAGGGAACATACACAGCCAATGTTCAGTGTAAACCTTCAACACAAGACGCAGAAATGCTCCACAGGTGTCACAGAAGTATCCTGACATATAACAAGGAAATGCTGTGCCAGAGCACACAGGAACAACTTTAACTACATCTGACACAGGGAATATGCCCACTTAATAGCTACAAAACAGAAAGAGATTCCCAGGTCTGGAAGCCACAAAGACACCATAATATACAAGTAGGACAAAGCAGCATAATACAGTTACTTCCCTGGCGACAGCTGACAGAGAGCACCCTTGCTCAGGGTGGGACATGGCCATCTCAACAAATAATTTACATACTCAGAGAATTGTTTTGGTTGGAAAAGACCTTTGGGATCAAGCTCAACCATTAAACTAGCACTGCCTATTCAAAAGTACTGCTGACACAGGAAGACCTTTGTGACACAGAAACCTGTAGGAGGGTCATGAGAAGCTGTGCAGCTGGGACACAAACATGGAGATACTGTTCTGTTTTGGGGCTGGAGCTATTACCCCCTCCATATAATGTCTGCCTGCTGCCTCACAGGGCCCTCATCTAAGCTGGGGCTTCACAGCACTACCAATAAAAATCACAGTCATAATAAAAGCGAATGTGACTGGCATGAGAACTGCCAGCCAG